CGCCCATGGCAATGAGTTCCTATGCCCCCCCCCCCCCTCCCCACCCCAACAACTGCGGCGCGAAGCACCGCCGCAACTCTGGCGATAAGGGTCTTATACCCGGAAGCTGACAGGGAGCCGGAACTGATGGAAAACATTTGGCTAAATTTGTAAATAAATAAAAAATAATAAATAAAAATAAACCAAAGCCAAGTCAAAGCATTTACTACAAAGCTGATAATATCTATCTACAAGAATACACCATAATTAAATACTCCTATGATGTGGCAGATTAACTCAACAGGCAAACAGATTCCGTTTTTTATTTTTATTTTAAGGATCCCGATACACAGTATATCATATTATGACACTGATTTTAAAAAATCACATTCGGTAGGACACACTCATACTGCAGTCTAGGTGTATTCCTAACTCCAGGACACTGCCGAAGGATTCAATCTCTTAATTCATTCAAAAGCGAAGGTTTGACTTCCGTCGTTTCTTGCCTCGATCGGGGCGCGGAATAACCTCACGCTTGTGATCGGGGAGATGTGACCTTCGCAACGAGTAATGAAGCCTACCATGCCTCTAGCTATCGAAAATGACATACATTCATCGATGGATGCATCAGGACAGTCCTAATTTTTTCTTATTGCCATTGAGAATCAGTTGCCAAGTACGTCGTGTTTTTCTCTCTCTTTTTCCTCGTTCTGCACGGTCTTCTTATGACATCGGCACCGGCAGATGGGAAACCTGCCGATGGTGCCATACCGGCGGTTGCCGAAACATCGTTATAGCTCTAGATTCAAGCGACGTCCATGTAAAAAAATCACTTCGGGTTCACTTTGGGTCAAGTAAAGAGGTAAAATGCCCAGGGAAAGATAAAAAATTTAAAAACCTAAGCCTGCATACTAAAGAGTGAGACAGGAATATAGAAAGGGGGATTAACCGATGTACGTTTCGAAATGAAGGGAGTAAAAGAGCTTACCCAGCATGCACCCGATGAGATCGAGCCGAAGACTGGAACGGAAGAGAAAAAAATATATACTCAGTCTTCTCCCCCTCTCCTTTCCCACTTCCTGCCTCCGATTCAAGCTTTTTTTTTTCCTTCCGTCTTTCATATAGTCAGTCCCAGCATTTCCAGAATTTGATCGTGATAAGAAATTGCTCGCTCGTGCGGGTCACGCCGCCTCTTCCTTTCCCCGCCCGGACGGACTGTATTCTATTGTACTCGTCTCAATCCAATGACATTTCCCTTCAAAAATTTAGCCGATACATCGCGATGGTCGAAAATCTATCGATACCTCCAACCATCGATAGTGGTATCGATGCATCGACCTATCGTGACAGTCCTACTCGATACCCACGGCCCAGTCGCAGCGTGGCTTCATGCCGCATGTACGAGGGGAAGGTTGGGGAGGGGGAGTTCTGCCTGATTTTGAAATTGATAGACTTATTGGTTCGATGGTAGGAGGCTGCACGGCATAATATGAAATATCATAATTAATTTTAATTTAAAAAATGTTCTCTCGTTCCGATTGACACTTTTTCGTCTAAAGTGGACGCACGATAAAAAAAAAACTTTTATTGTGTTTCTTAGCACAGCGCCCCCCCCCCCCCCCCCCCCCCCCCCGCCCCCCCCCCCCCCCCCCCACCCCCCCTCCCATTTTTTTCCCCCCCCCCCCCCCCCCCCCCCCCCCCCCACTTTCCTAGCTGGCGCCCCGGGCGATCGCCCGCCCCTAGAAACAGCCCTGTTTTTATCTTCGCATCGTCGTTTAAATAGTGCATTAGCTATTTTTCAGAGCGAATAGGCGAGCGACGGAATCGATGAAAACCTGACGAGATTGCATCCCAAAGAAAAATGATGAAGCCTTTTTTTCTAAGCACCCAAGAAATGACATAGATATAAATTCTTCTCCGTAAATCCTGAAAGCTGACTTTCGACGATTTTTCCTCCCGAATGTTCCACAGACACTGCCCTTGGCATGCGACCAAACGAGATGTAACCCCCCGACAGACTGGTACCAACTGGAGGCGAGAACTGGCACTGCTCTCCGCCTCTCCCTGCTGATACGGGTAATGATCCCCTCGACGCCAGTTCCTTCTCTGATCCATCTGCATGATCCTGTTTGCAAGGAGGGAAACACTATCTTCGAAAGGCGTCCAATTTCTTCCGATGAAAATAGGTCTCAGATTCCTTTACGACGAAGACGAGACGGAGCATTTGAGAGTATTACAAAAAACCAACATAAGACGAACGCGTTTTTAATCCTCCTTGCCCAGATGACCTGGGGTGGATTGCATAAAACTGACTTAAGCGTAATGGAGCTTTAAACCTCTTTTTGTTAAGTCGAGACCCCGGTCACGAGCAAAACTTCACGCACTTGCTCGTCTTCTCCGACAGAACAAGCAACGGCGCTCCGAAATTAGGGAACGACTTAAGCCATGTCAAATGATTAATTTCGATTATTTGAAGTTCGAAACATTCGAAGTTCTGGGAACTCCGCGTGGATTGAAACACTGGAGGGACAGGACGGAAAAGTATTTACCATTCACAGGCTCCCATAATAAGGCGAGAACCATGAGGCTGATATTTTAAAATTCAAGAGATGGATCCACTATTACCAGTGAATGTGTCTGCTGGGAAACGAGCTCTCAGAAAAGTAACGAACCAACCTGAATTGATTGAGACATGTTTGGTTTCGTCTTAGCGAAGGGGGTGTTTCGTTTTGGATACCTAAAGCTAAACGAGTACTAGCTGTACTAAAGAGTACTTGAAATGAGATTAAAAGCGCTGCTTTGGGCCAAAAACGGTTGGAACGATTGCGATATATGAAGTATTAGGTTGTTGCAAAAGTCCTGTCGGTATTGACAACTTTATTTTCTCAACTTTAGAGCTTTGCAACAAGCGAGGCCTAATCGACCACATATTCGCCATAGTTGCAGATGACCTTCGTCCATCTTCTGGCCAGGTCATGGATGCCTTCTCTGTAGAAGGACTTGGGCTTCGAGGCGAAGAAGTCTGCGAGGCCGGTTTCCATGGCCTGTCGATTGGTGAAGCTCCTCCCAGCCAGGTGATTTTTCAGCGATCGGAATAGATGATAGTCAGAAGGGGCAAGGTCCGGGGAGTACGGTGGGTGACAGATCACTTCCCAGCCGTACCCCTGTAGCGTGCTGCGGGTGACGTTCGCGACGTGTGGGCGCGCGTTATCGTGTTGGAAAAACACGTGGCCTGCCCAGTAAGGATCGGAGTCCAGTTTCGCTTTGAGATTTGCCAGCTGAGTGGTGTAAATGCGGGCAGTGACCGTTGAGTTCTCTGGAAGCAGCTCCCAGTACTCAACTCCTCGTTCGCTCCACCAGATGCACAGCAACAGCTTCTTCGGGTGCAGACTGCCTTTTGGCTGTACTGGAGGCTTGGAACCGGAGCGCAGCCAGTGGTGTTTCCTCTTGGGAGTATCGTAGAGGACCCACGACTCATCCCCAGTAATGAGGTGATCGAGCCAAGCATGTGTCCGGCGCTTCGTCAAGAGTTCGGTGGCACAGTCGACCCGCCTGTCCTTGTTCGCCTGTGTAAGGTCGTGGGGCACATAACGGCCGAGCATATTCACTAAGCCGAGCTTGTCCAGGCCACGGGATACGGTGGAATAGTGGCAGGAGAGACTGCTTGCCGATCCGCGTGTGGTCTGCTGGCTGTTGCTCTCCAGCTCTGCTTTCAGGGCATCAGAATCCAACTCCGTCGGGCGTCCGGACCGCGGTCTGTCTTCAACGTCGTAGTCTCCAGAAGAGAATTTGGCAAACCATCGTTCTACCGTGCGAAGACTTATGATGTCTCCGCCATAAACTGCGCACACTCGGCGATGAGCTTCCGTAGCTCCGACGCGAGAGTGGAAGTGGAAGAGAATGCAGTGACGGAGATGGATCTGCGTTGGCGTGAATTTCTCAGAGGCCATGAGAGATGATGGGATGAGTGAGATACAACAGACTGTCCTTATATACCCATACCTACCACCCACTCGCCAGGAATTGTCAAAGCCTGGAAGTTTTATTAGAACATGTTACATTCAACACCGACAGGACTTTTGCAACAACCTAATACTATATACTCTACGGACCCTTGCAGGTTCTTTTTTAGTGCTGTCAAGTGCTAAAACACGAGGCTTTCGAAAACTCGACCGAAATTTGAAGAAACGTGCATAGCATCCCAAATCAGTTTCTAAATTGATCACAACATATTAGGTACTGCTGGACTGGTGACAATTCTGGAGATAATTTTTCGGAGCTACAAGTACAGGATAGTCCAAAACCCAGTCCAAAACTGGCATATTCACAGTTTTGTGAAGTCAAGAATGGATTGTCACATAGGAATCATGACGAAAAGTCATGCATTCGCCTCTCGGGATTTGGCGCACCCGTATTGAAGTGCAGTTTGCTCCGAAACAGGGTGGAAAACACGAAGCACTCAATTCTCCTAAGGGAACGAGTCGTGGGGATGGAAGCATAGAAATCCATTTGCTGGAAATCAAAATCTAATACTTTGAACGGAAATTCCTTGAACTTCGTGGAGATGCATTTGTTGAATAACATGTCAGGCAAGCATCGACTTTCTTTCACGCTATCGCTCACTCTACAGTGACTTCGGATCGAGCTTGCTCACCAACTCCACCCCTATGGCGCTGTTTTAGCACCGCTCCTAGTGGGAACCTCACGACCGTGAGTTGAGGTCTAAAATATAAAGTTGACGACACGAACAACGCGCATTAGGCACCTCATATCCCACGATTGTTTGCTTTCGATTTCTGCCAGTAGACTCAGAGGGAAAGTGATAAATCTCATAAATGAAGAGGGCGATTGTACGGTTACATTTTCGCAGGGTGAAAATCACAGGATGGTCCGTTTCGATCAGAGGGGATAGAAGAGGATGACCACCTTTTCTCGAATTTTCCTCATTTTTTCCGGAATCACGGCAAAATCTTTACGAGAATGTTCGATAAAACTAAGGTTGCCACCCGTTCATAATTAGTATGAACAGTACATATTTCAAATGCAATGTCCATATTGCAAACTGGTCCTAACATGGACACTGTTTTGTCCATATTTTAAACTTGTTAATGTTTTTTACGCATTAAAGCTCAATAGCAGCTACTATCGTTCTTTTCCGTAAGTCAAAAGCTGTAGGCCACACTCATAGTATCGATTGGCGCCTTGGCTTAAGGTGGCTGTGGGTAATTTCGAATATTTGTCCATATTTTGTAAAATTCAAAGGTGGCAACCCCAGATAAAACACCGGACATGTGGTCACCGTGGACCCTCGCATGAAATCTCCAAATGACGGCTCCGTTTGAAAGTAGTTTAAAAGCAGCCTTCTTGAGACGTGCTGCTTGACAGGCCTCTGTTGCATTACAGGTAACCCTGCCGAAGTGTACGCCCATGGAAGCCAATGGTTTGCGACGACTTTTGGAGTGGCATTGGGGATTTTCTCCGCCATGCTCATCTTCGTCCCCTTCTTTCACAAGCTTCAACTCGGTTCCATCTTCGAGGTATAGTTCTACAAGCCCTGCCTCTTGATCCTCGCGCCAAAATTGACACAATCGAATTTTCTTACCCAATTTGTAAACCTTAAAATTGAGGTAATGGAATTTCCCCCAGTATTTCGAAATGCGTTATGGGACGAAGAGCGTCCGGATCCTGGGAAGTGTGATATTCATCCTCCAACAAGTTCTGTACATGACTGTTGCCTTGTACGCGCCTGTCATCGCCGTCGCCTCCGTTACTCCCTTCCCCGAATGGACTGCAATTCTCGTCGCAGGCGGTATTTGCACCATCTACACTACTATCGTGAGTTCCGACTCCCCACGACACGATCTTCTTGGAAGTTATTTACTTTCTATGACGGTCGATGCCTATTTCTAGGGAGGCCTGAAAGGAGTGGTGTGGACGGATGCCCTGCAAGTCGTCTTCATGCTGGCCGGTCTCCTGTTGATCGACATCTACGGAACCATTTCAGTCGGGGGACCAAACAAAGTGTGGGATATCGCCTCTCAATATCAACGAGATCAGATGTTCAAGTGAGCCTGCCATATGTACTCCTTACCTTTGTGCGGCGGAAGCAAAGAAAAGTGACCATTCTACCTATAAGCAACGACCGCCCAATCCGCCACGAAAATGAAAAAATAAAAACAGGTTCTTGCTCATTTAAACTTTGGGTGACATGCACCGAATCCGTTTAAGCTAAACTAACCTGATCTCACAATGGTTCCCTATGGGAATCAGTTTAACCAAGACCCACAGACGCCCATTATAAAAACGAATCAGTTTAAAACTAAACGGATCTGGTGCATGTGACCCTTCAACTTGCTCATTGACTGGGAAAATTAGGAGCTATCTTTATACTGAAATCTACTTAAAACACAGAACGCAACCCTATCCCGGGATTACTCTCACGCAACCCAAAGTTAATGACTAATTTTTGACGTAAACATTCGTCTCCATAGTGAGACCATGATCTCCCCCTTTAGAGGCAAATATAATTTAATTTTGAAATGAAGTGACCTTATAACAGGTAAACCCATGCAACGTGTAAGAGCGAACCGATTCGGACATGGGATTGCATTGCACCGACCACAAAGCCTTAGAGATACGACAGCACTTTTCGCCACAGGAGGACTCGAGACTTTCCGTGACTCGGTCTCGACGATCATGGGCTTGGACTTGGGGCATAGTTACTCGGACTGAAACTTTGTGAGTCATTGACGTATTCGTGACGCCAGTGCCTCGATATTCTCTAAGATAGATCAAGAAAATTAAGGATTTATAAATACGGAAACTCGGCCATAGGACAGTAGGACTCTTGGACCATCGGTCCCGGAGTCCCACGCAGGAGTTGCATAGGGTAGCCCTAACCCGACCATTATCCTGGTTATCCGTCTGGCCGGAAACGAGGGGTGGGAAGTATGTGAGACAATTAGGCACACGCACTCGGCCCTTCTCCCCACCCACTCCACCCTAACCCTCAGCGAGGTCTCCATGCAACGGTCGTGACAAGGTCACGTCCCCGATCACAGACAAGCCATGCTAGTCTAGCCATGGAGGGGAGGGGGGGCAGAATGCGCATGCCTGCAGAGGATGCAGCCGCATCTCTAGCCGAAATAATACTCAGTGAAATAACTGAGTATCTTTTGGTTTTGTTTAAGTGGTTTTCAAACCACCTAAGCAAAAAGAAATTAAAATATGCCCGTATTAGCGAATACCGTGTCAAAGAGAAGGGGACTAAAGAGACTCGCAATGAGAAAGGCGTAAAGAGACGGAACGGAAAGAGAAAAACGTGCGACTCACCCGAAGCGTGCGTGAAAAACGATTGAAACATGTCGGTTAGTAGTGCAGGAGCAAGTTTTCGCGCGTTCTCCAGCACCGGGCTAGCCCTCCATTCACTTTGCTTTTCGAAAATAACGTGGAGTAAGTCTACTTTCACAGAAATCTCCGCATTAGTACCTCATTTCACAATTTGAATGTGCTCAACGAACTGTCAGGTTCGTATTCTGGTGTCCGTAAAACACACAATCAGCTTCGCCTCGGGTGTTTTCCGTCGATATCCATCGGCTTCGCCAGTCTGTTTCTCTTCCTTAGCTGGAGTGTCTGGCCGGGAGGCTCTCCCACTCTTGCACATGCGATAGCCCTCTTGGGTTTGGCTTAGGCCTTTTTTTTTGGACTGGTTTTCCTTCCAGCACTTCGCCTTGGCTTGATTCAGACTGAAAATCCCAGGAGTCTCCGTGCGAGACACTTTGAAGACGGAATATCCACGATTTTTAAGCACTTAGCCGATCAGATGCAAACAAATCGTGGTCAGTCGTGGCGACAAGTAGGTCTGACGGCACCATTGTATGATCAGACGAAGAAAGAAAAGAACTGATAGCACATTACGAGCGAAGCTAAGATACAGTCTGCCGTTGTTGAGTTCCATTATCGAAGTTCCAGAAGAGGCAAGCTTTTTTGGCCATCGCTGCATATTTGGGGGGGGGGGGGGGGGGGGGGGGGGGGGGGGG